CTAGGATTTATGTCTTTGGGTTTAATAATAGTATTCTGTATTATATTTCACTGATGACTGCATCAGAATTCGTCCCGTTATATTATCTGTGCATGTTTGAACTTTATCGCCGGGAAACGTGCACAGCTGATTGCTATTTCCGGCTCAGATACACACGGTAATCTTAATCCCTGCAAATAATACAATGCCCAGCAAAAAGAACTTAGAACTTAAAAGGTAAATGATCTTGTCTAGTGATGTTTAATTGCAAATTTGACGTCTCTACTGACAAAGTCGTCTTCTGTTGTTTGTTCACGCGAAGTGATACGATGTTGTTTTCTTACCCCTGGAAAAAAGTTTGACGAAAGCGTAACCCAAGGATAAGACGACCCCCTTCTACAGACTGCTTTTTTTGGTCCTCAAAATTCGGCTTATAGGCGGTCATTTACGGTAAGACATGAAAGTGGTCCCCCGATTTCCCCCGAAATTGATATTTTTATACTTATCCTGACTCATGAGGTTGAGCCATCCCAACCTCCCCGCTGGAGACACTTTGGATTTCACAGCAGATCCAAGTGCATTGGCAGAAAATCAGCAGAGAGTGACAAGTAAGGCTGGTCACATGACTGTTTGCGGCTGAAAAGGGCAAAAGGGAGGTAACTCGTGGGTGAGTGTATTTTTACGTCCGCTTCAGGAACTTCAAGGGATTCAAGTGTTCCACTACCATTCGAAAAGGAAAGGGAAATAAGCAAAAAGATCATGAGTCAGTATACGTTTAAAAATATCAATTTTACTTGAAAAATTACATATTGTATTACCCAATATGCCAATTCTGAGTAAGAACCCATTGCAAAACCATCGTTTGAAAGGCGTATTGTGATATACTGGTATACTAGTAATACCATGCAGTCTTTGGTGTAGAAAGTAGGGGCTACAAAGGTAGCATTGTCCTCTGGTTACTAGTGGTACTACCACTGGTAGTGATAACTGCTGCAGCTTTGATGTGTTCAAACATTTATCATTGCGGTTATCATTGCACAGTAACAAGCTAGCCTTTTTAATCTCTGCCTTCAAGGCAATATATTGTTACAAGTATGGACACTAATGTTGTTGACTGGTTTGTTGGTGGGTTAGTAGTGCGATAAGCCCAGGGTAAATAAGGAAAATTGTCAACATATTACATTGCCAGAACTTTATATTTGTCACTTGCTATGTGCAGACTGTAAGATTAACATTTTATGTACCGGAATGAAACATCCTTGTTGTGTTTCTTGTGACAATGGCAGATCCTTCTAATACACATTAATAGCTTGTTGAAAGTTGAATCCAGCTTTCAGTACAACTTCTTTGAACATAGCCTAGCTTATTGTTCCAGTGCATTTAGCAATACCTATTCACAGCATGATGTGTTAATGTCAATGCAAGCATTGAAGGTGTTGCCCATTACAGACCAGGTATGTTATCTCAGCCAAGTGCAGGAAGCATAGATGTTAACTAACTCATTTCCTGCTTTTCATGTCCGATAGTTTTGCTTCCTCATTTCATGACAGTCATGTGTGATGTCAGATACTGCTTACCAATAAAACTAGTCCTGCTGATTATTTTGCCAACTCAATAATTCTTTGTAAGGCATGTCCAGTTGACACAAAAGGGCCCTTATCATACTCTATTGTTTCATAGTTGCTGTAGCAGTGAGCAGCCAAAAACCCAAGTATGCAAAAGTGGACATTAGTGTAACATCACCACTGATGTTGCCCAAACTGATGTTGTTAATGTTACAGGTATTCAGTTAAAACTGTTTTCAGGGTATTTCTATATCATGATTCTTTAGTATTTATTTAACTGTAACACATGTTATCCAAGGTTTTAGCAAACATCAAATAAATGGGGATTTTTCAGTCTATATTAAGTCAGGTTGTTTTGCAGATACTTATTATAAGGAAAAATTGAAATCCATTTTTTTTTTCCTATCAAGCATGTTTAGATCACTTCTCTATGGTCGTTAAGGCTCTTAGTGTTGCTCAAAGACTATTTGAGGCCGCCGAAATACTAAGCTCTTAGTTCTCACTAAGCTGTCCTTGGCACAATATACGGGTTTGGTACTAAGAATGAAAGATTTCTGAGTATGAACTGAGAGCTGATTTTCTGTCTATGTTCTACTTGTGGGACCAGACTGACAAGCAGTCATGTTGGGTTTTTGTTACTGTGCAGATGTGTTTATATACAGCACTGGGTGAACAAGCAAGCGGGTCCACTGTTGTGGGTGTAGCACTGCAGTGACTTGCTCTAATCTCTCTCATTACACAACATGCACAAGTGATGCAATGTGGACACACAGCATTGAAGTATATGTAGGACATAATTGGCCACCTCCAGAATTGGGCCCTAACCCAACTAGGATAAGTGTAGATATCCTGTGTAGATATATGTGTGAGTCACAATCGCTGAGCAGAACTAATGGCATCAGAACATTGTAGGACTGCTGTGAATGCTAGATTGATGGGAGAGGGGGCCTCTAGCCTTTGCTGGCCTAGGGTCACGGGCAGAATTGGAGCACATCATTACATCTCTATCCTTCCTGCTGTATTCATATCATGGCATGGATGGGTCATAAGCATACAAGTTGGTGTAGATCTTCACACTGACACTTGCAGTGTTCATGTCACAGTACAATAACTTTAGTGTAAACACTTAGGGAAATTGCATTGGTACATACATTCATGACAGTGTGGATGTGTCATGGGCCATTGCACCAGTAGTGATGTGTGTATGAGCTTCTTGTGATTCATGTGATAAGAGCTCAGTATGTGTGATGTACTTCCGTTGCTTTGCCACCTGTGATAGGGTGACATGTAATCCACTATCACCACCACTCACATCAGCAAGTGTACATGCTCATATTGATAAAAAGTGATTTAATGGCTGCTGTCACTTGTGATATTGTACTATTACACATCATCTATTTATGTTTGATTGACAATTTTATGAGCTATTTGTTCTGAATGACGTGTAGTTGTGTTCCAATTAATTGAAATAATCGAAGATTGGTCGCAGTGACCACACGACCAAGCAATCGATTACATTTTTTCATAATCGAACACAAACGATTTTGGAACTACTGTTTTAGTGTTTGAAATACTTGATGAAGGAACATATCTTAGAAGTTGTCAGGGCCTGAAAATATGTTTTATTCTTAGAAAACTTGCTTAACTTGCTGAAAGTCATGACTGAATATTTCTTGAAGATGCTGGAATCTTTATGTTCTGAACTTCATGACATAATAGTCATCACTTTAAAGTAGCAAGTTGCATCATTTTACACAGGCTGTGAAATTTGTCAATGCAATTTGCGCAGTTTCTAAATAAAACAAAAACAACAACAGAGAACCACAAGTTTTTTTCTTTATGAGTATCTGCAATAACAACTTAACCTGAATAGGAAAGTCTGAAAAATGATGCTAACCAATTTTTTTCGATGATTGCTTGTTGGTAATGAGCCAATCGTCAATTGTGAGATTTCAACCAATTCCCAACACTAATGATGTGTCAATAGACAATGGGCATGTAAGAGACCAGGACTATCATGACCAAGTAAATAATAAGATACGATACCTTTACACTAAGCAGTAGTTTAATGGGTCAGAAATTGGTTTAATGCATTTATTTTACTATGGTCTGAGGGCATAGGCACCTATGATTATATACTTTACATACTATTTAGAAGTAAGTTAATGATAACAGTGGAAATATGAGAGGTTAACTGGATCCAAAATGGTCATGGAACGTCATGGTTGTCAAATAATATTTCCCTCTTTCTGATTTATGTCATCCTAACTGAATGTAGATAGTGCATTATATTTCTTTACTCAGTGGGAGTAATGTTTTTATTATATGTGTTAATGAATATATAGCATCTTATTTAAAAACTAAAACTAAAATAATATAAATGTATAGTCTAACCTGATCCCCGGGTGCAGCTGTAAATAGGGCTGTGAGGATGCTCGTCCTATGGCTTTATTATGCCAGCAGGTTAGTGTTTAACAGAAGGTAATGTTAACCAGAGACTGTCACATCACAGAAATATTTGTGTACAGAAAGTGGTACCATTACAGTATTGAATGTTACCATTAGTTGTATGCTCTATGTGTTATAACAAGCCCAATTTATCATATGAGATATGAGCAGATAAGAAATACTTCAGTAGTGCTTGTTGTCATATCTATACTAGCGGGAAGTACTTTGGTACTTATGACTTCAGTGATTGACCTGTGCTACGTGTTCATGATATATTATTTTGCATTTATTAATAATGAGTATTGTTATATAACCAAGTATTCTGGCACAGTTTGTTGCGTGAAATATATCATTGCCAAGCTTTCAGCCTACTTTTCAGGGAGTATGTATGGAGCATGATGGAATGTCTTCTCTTTGCCAGGATGATTAGTGATGACAGGGAAGATTTGTGGAAACAATCCAAGGAGTTGCATTACTTTCACATAGGAATTGTCTAAAGCTTCTTATGTGCAAAGGGGCGATGGAGTAGCCAAGTGGTTAAAGCATTCGCTCGTCATGCCGAAGACCCGGGTTCGATTCCCCACATGGGTACAATTTGTGAAGCCCATTTCTGGTGTCCCCCGCCGTGATATTGCTGGAATATTGCTAAAAAGCGGTGTAAAACTAAACTCACTCACTCACTCTAATGTGAAAACAGCACATATTCTGTTTGTAATCCTTAGACATGCTCAACATCAGGTTTTGCTTTCCACCATCACTCAGATGACATGCCAAAGAAAATACTGATCAAAGTGGAATGAAATCATTCACACTGCCGACTTATCCCTCCAGGTGATTTGTGACATAAATGTAAGTAACTGGTTAGTGTCTGTTAGCCATCTTGTAACAGAGGTTATCTGTTAGTGCCATCATCCAAAATGATTTTATTTTGATTGTAGAATGTATGGCTTATTTAGAAATGAATGCTTATCTATATTTATTGACAAGCTATCATTGTTTTTTTTTCAGACTACACCTATCACAATGCCGTTGACCAAGCGGCGTATCGAGCCGGTCAGCGTGAGCCGTGTGAAGGTGGACAAGACTGTCCGCAATGAGCTGGAGTGTGTCACCAACAACACCCTTGCCAACATTATACGTGAACTCAGCAGCCTCAGCAGGCATGCAGAAGACATGTTCACTGAGCTTTCCCACGAAGCAACAGTTGTGTTTGGGCGCTCTGTTCAGCTGCAGAAACGCATCGATCACCTGAGGGACAAAGTCACACAGCTCAATGCAACCGTGGAGGAAGGTCAGTCTTCTACAGCACTGCATCATATCACATAATCAGCCTTGGATAAAAACATCCAACTAGCTCAGATTATAATGGGCTTATCTTTCAGCTTGTTTTGTAGATTTGTTACAATGCTACCAGGAATATAGATTTTGGTAGAAAGAAAATAGAAAGGCCACCATTCGAAGCAATAAATGATACAATAGATAAAACAAATTGCACTTGTTAAGGGTCTTTGTATAATCAAAGGCATGAATAATTGCCATCTAAGTCAATATTACATGATTTAAGGCGACTTATGAAACAGTGGCTTGTTTCAGAGCATGATGGCACCCCCTGCAGCAGTTTAGTTGCTGCTGATAGTTGAGGTGTCTAAATACTCCACTAATTTGAAATCTTCTACAGAGGTTTAACTGCTTTGTTGGCGTGCAATTTACAGTTGTTTCAGAGCACTGTGTTGCCTTCTAGTTCTGCTTAGTTGATCCAACTTGACAACATCAGCTTCTTCAAAAGTGGGTTGTTGCTTGAGATTGCTGCAACGCAAGGGATACACACCCAGGGCTTCAGCATCTTCAGTGGTCGTGGCTGTGTTCACGTCTTTTACAGCCGTGATGTGCCTAATATAGCTGCCCTCCTTACATATCTCGAAGAAAGCATGTGGAGAAAGTATTGGCTCCAGCTAATGAAGGCGAGACTAGAGCAATGGCTTTCACTGTGGCACTACATTTCTGTTACTTTGTCGTAAACATGATCGAGGGACGTCTTGCAGTAGATGGGGAATGTATTCAGGTACTGAGTTTGGACCACAAGGGTCACCATTTTGAGGCAACTATGTACTTGCATTGTGTTGTATTGAGAAATGACCTGCTTGTATCATGTCATCACACGTGTAGTGGTTAACATGTAAATGTATTAGAATCATGTTGGGTCGTGTTTGTTGATGATAATATGAACGAGCTTGTGTATAGACAGGAAGACTATACTAAGAGGGAGTGGGCACTAATTAGCCCTTTATCTACAATATATTGTGTTACCACCAATCAGTGTGTGCCTTGCTGCACGGTGGTCATATATCTGATATATTTTGGTGTATATTACTGTGGGCTTACAAGGCCACAGTGTAATTTTAAACATGTAGACAATTCTTTGCCCTTAGCTTTTTGGTTTTCATAAGAATTAACAAGAAGAAGTTTGATGGGGGACCAGGATGTCCTATCAGTAAGATTTCTTCTGACTAACTGGAACTATATAATGATATTGGAAGTGCCTATAGACTGTGACTTTGACTGTGGGTTGTCTGCCTTCAGAACAAATTTGTGACGGTAACAATCACCAGTTGTGACTATGTAGACTGGATGTCATTCTGGTGTATGATTTTGATGATTTCCATTGTGCATTGTTGGTGCTTGGGGATACCAGGGAGAACATTTTTTAAATTGGTAGGGAATACTTTGTACAATAATTTTAATTCCTTCATCTCCAAGATCATTTCCTACCTTTCTACTGTCAGAAACGTATAGAAGAAATGTGGCATTTGGATGACAAAAGTTTTGTGCTGTATGCAAGAAATATGCATTATGTCTGAAAGCACACAATAAATCTCCAAGTTGTCCATCGGCAAAGGTTGTGCGCATGATATTGTGGTGAACTTAACATTAACAAGTGATGAAGAATTTTTATATATTTTTTTTATCCTGACTCACGATCTTTTGCTTATCTCCCTTTTCCTTGCGAATGGTAGTGGAACACTTGAATCCCTTGAAGTTCCCAAAGCGGACGTAAAAATACACTCACCCACGAGTTACCTCCCTTTTCCCACATAAACAGTCATGTGACCAGCCTTACTTGTCACTCTCTCCCTTTTCGCGAGCGGGCGAGCACTGGAGTCCTGTATACGGCATTATATCCTTATTATTTAGGTCCTATTCTTCAAAATTACACTGTATATGGATTTGGCAATAACTACTATGTATAATATGTAAAAAAATTGTAAAAAATATTTGTATTTGTGTCATAATTTCATCGTCATGTAACTTTGTTTACATTTCATGAAATCTTGCAGTGTTTGCAGGCACAGGTTATCCGTGGCTGATCCTCACCCCCAATGCCTTTCGTGCATAAAACCATGTTCTTCCAGCTTGCGTTGTACTTATTGTGTTGATTTCAAATCTACAATTTAATCAATATTTGTCTTATATCTATAGACGTGCCATGGATCGGGTGAGGAAGTCATCTCAAGTAACGGCTGATAAAACAGGAGATCAGCCTGCAAACCGTATGTTGATTGCTACTGCGGAGATTAATAATACTGGTGCTATGTTGAGTACGTTGCAGGGGCAGTCTGCTGGTACGGGGGCCAAGAAGAGATCGGCTACAACGCAGTTGACTCCGACTCAAGCTAAGAAAAAGACGTCATCTTCTCCTACGTCGCAGTAGAAAGCATCTGTTACCAGATCGGAGGGTAAATCTACGTGGCCTAGTAAGTCAGCGCATCAGAAATCCTTCAACAAGAGATATTACCTCTGCATGAAGTAGATGTTTTCTGATGACCCCCCGTTACTTCTACCCGAAGTACCTGACAACGGTGACTCAATCGACTTCCACAACTACTAGATCGTCTCCTGCAACGGTCACAGCGTTCCAGCTGTTTGACGAACTACCACCTACTTCTCAACGGAGTGAAGTTGAGGCACACAACTCATCAGCGTTCGCGTACGCTTCTTTATACAACGCAGCAGCTTTAATCAACGCAGAACTTGATCTGGGTGAAATTATGAGACAATTCACCAACCAGATAATAGCTATGATGGAACGGAGGTTCGAGGAAGAAGCGAAGGCTCGACGAAGCCTCTCATCTACTGACACCGTGCGCAAACCTACGGACCTGTGCGAACCTACTCCACATAGAACTACGTCTCAAGACTACGTTGGCGAACATTGCAAAGGTCTCCACAGTCGGATGACTTTACCATCTTGGAGGAGGATAGAAGAGATGAGATGCCTACTCACCGTTCTACATCTGCGAACCCACAACGTTCGAGAACATCGAAGGATTCATCTCCTACACATAGCCGTTCTAGATCGAGATCTCATATCTCTCACAGACGTTCGCGAAGTCACTCATCACGAGACAGAGGTTCGCGAAGAAAAGGCTCACATCACAGAAGTTCGCGAAGAGGTGAATCCACAGATAGAGGTTCGTGAAGAGAGGACTCTCAAGATAGACGTTTCGCGAAGGGAGGAATCTTCAGTTCGCGAAAGGACGATGGAGGTTTGAGAAGGGATACAGCTTCGCAGAAGGATGAATCGCAGGGCATAGCTCTACCAATCAGGAGATAACTGATAAATGAATAACCAGACGTCGTCTTCCCGGACTCAGAGGTTACAGATTAGATAGCCAATGTTTTGAACTTGGAGTCTACTTCTAAGGATATAGTTGAAGCAGAGCTCCAGATAAGATTTAGCTCATGTGGGTACTGTACCCAATGTATTTTTTTGGAGTGGGTATTATGAATGTTGAGTGGGCATTTCATTTTCCGTTACCCACTGCTTTCAAATATGTGCGTATTCAGTCATTTTACTCACCTAAGTATTATGTCATTGAGTAAATTTACTAAGCAGGTATGTTCTGCCTTATGTCATACCTAATCAAAGCAACTTAAATATAATTGAAATGATTTCATAAAAAATCACTCATCCTGTACTGAAAGTACAACACTTGTCCTATACTAACAGTACAACTTGATAACAATTGATGTCTTTTTCATTACGCAAGCGATTTTTATGAATATATTCCGTACGCATTTGTTTTAAACTTTTTGCGTATCTAACATTTTAAATGCGTAATTGGTACGCAACAATTATTTTTTCAATGCGTAATTGGAAATTTTCTATGCGTATTTTACCCGGATACGCAGCTTTCTGGGCCTCTGGTTGAAGTCTACACTTATAAGATGCGTAATGACGACTTTAACTCGGTGACTATTCCTCCGATTGAACCTATATCCAAAGTACCTTCTAACCTATGCACATCTTTGAGAAAGCTACAGACATCTACAAGGTTCGAGAACTCTCAGATCTACAGGCAGGTAACAGCAACGCAGACATCTACAGGGTTCGCGAACCCTAGGCTTAACAAACCCTTACATTAACAGACAGGATGTTGACGTCGACTCTATTACCATACGGCTGAATAAAACGAAGCAATGATGAAAACGGGTGGTTTTGTCAGAGTTTAAAACTCAACAAAAAGATCTACAACATGCGCGATCTCTACAGTTACAGTCTGCACAACTCTTCAACCTGCACAAACCTTATACCTGTATAGGTTCTGTTTCGGACGACAACCTACTTGATGAAAGGAATCACTTCATCTATACGGATGCTGAGGTCTTATACCGGGTAGCAGATGGCCTGCGGATATTGTCGTTCACTCACTCACTCCAACCCAACAGACACGTACTGCATATACGCTGATGACTTTGACTCCAATATGATATCACCTATGAAGCTGATATCTCAAGTACTGGAGAACCTCAAGGTAACCTTTGTAAAGGGCTTAAGGTTAACAACGCCTTCAAGTAACCTTGAACGGACGTACAGATGATATTATTTACACTCGTCACTCAGCGTGGGGGTTAGGATTTTATATCCTATCAACTAGATTCAACATCGGTATTTCTTCAAGATCCATACAGACATACCTCTCGACAGCCTCCTTCGTCATGCTGGCTTATATTATCCACAATGGGAATACATGATTAATATCACTGAACAAGAATTACACTTGGAGCAACCCTTATTCAAGAGGTTCATATGAGCGGCGTAGAATTACGAGCGCATTTACTCAACCAACTAATTGCATCAGATTTTATGGAGGCCAACTTGCTACAACACTGGTGACGTCATGCTTGGAAGCTGATTGGCCACATCAGACAATGCCTCCCACTGACAGAGCAGGCTCCAGCATGTTTTCTGATTTGTAAACAAACCCGTGGTACAGGGGAATACTTCATCGGCAGCCTTGGAAACAGTATACAACTACGGCCTGTTATCATCATGGGAATCTAATAGATGTCTAGCCTTGACAGCAGGATAAATGATATATATTTTGGAAGTTTTAGCTGATAAAAGTCGGTATGAGTACCTGTCCCCTTCGATGCTACACTGGAGCCAGCCTTGCTATAAATAGACAACGCTTCGATGTCAACACAGATGGCCTGCGTATATAAGGGGAAGAATTATGTATCATCATTGCAATCAGAGGTTAGCACTTCCAATGGAACGTCCTACCGTTTGGAATATCGTCGGCTCTGTGATTATTCTTACAAATAACCAAGCCTATCGGCAACTATCTGCAGCATCGAGGTCTATGCAGTGCTGGACGACGGCATACAGGTTCTTCAAAGTGCCAATCAACTCAAACAGCAGCTGAACTTCACAATTAAGTTGCTCACGCAACTAAGATGGCTAGTGAACCTGATGAAGTTGGAGTTAGAATCAAACAAGATCTTCAATTGCTGGGAATAAGAATTATCACAGCACAGAATCGAATTATGGTCCCAGAAGATTATTGGGTCAAGATACAAGCCATGATTCCACTAGCAGTCATCTCTCCGTTAACACTATGACCATGGCAATGTCTACTCGGTCTACTAACCTCGGCGATTACAACTAAGGCCGCTGCAACGGTTCCTGACAACACAACTGGACAGCGTCGACCCTATCTTGCTGCCAGACAATCTTAAGAGGTACCTACTTTGGTGGACCCACAGGTCGAACGTCTGCAGAGGAACCTATTTACAAGAGCCGGCCTTTGACACACATCTCTACGTAGACGCATCGATACAAGGTTGGGGTGCACATCTCAACAATCAAGTTCCATCAAGGAAGTGGTCCAAACAGAACAGCATCTTCACATCAATCTGCTGGAGATGAAAGCTGTGATCAACGCCTTACAACTATTGTCCAGCTCGCTGATCAACAGAATGCTGATGGTCCACGTGGACAACTCTACAGTGGCATTCTCCATAAATCGGCAAGGATCTACAAGATCACCAAGCTCACATTCCAGTTGTTTGACATCACGGAGGAGGCAAACATCTGGCAAACATCTCTCCCGACCACTGCACCCGTCACCTACAGAATGGATACTCCATCAAGAAGCATTTCGGCTCATCATAAGGGAAATAGGAACCCAATGCATAGAACTATTTGCCACGAGGTTCAACAAACAACTACAGACGTTTGTCTCACCATTTCCAGATCCTCAAGCCTGGGCAACAGATGCGCTGAACATATCATGGGAAGGACTAAACGCTTATGCGTTTCCACCACTGATATTACCACCGAAAGTACTGTTGAAGATCAAACAGACACAGGCGCTACAACTGACTTTGGTCGCCCTACTGGCCAGCGAGAGTATGGTTGCTAGACCTAATAGAAGATCTCGGAAGTCCAACAATCAAGTTACCAGATTGGCCAAACCTACTCATACATCCGCACACCAAGCAAGTCCACAGGAACCCCAACACTGTTCCAGCTACACGTGTGGACCGTATCAAAACATGTTTGAAGAAAAGAGGATACTCCGCCAGGGCAGCCAAGGCAGTAACGCTAGCGTTACACAGATCTACTCGTAACCTGTATGATGACAAGTGGCTGAAGTTTGAGACATATGCAAGGCGGAAAGACTTCATTGTGATGAAAGCTACTCATCCTCAAGTGGCGGAATATCTGTGTCATCTTAGACAGACCAGACATCTGAAAGGTTCGACATTATCTACATACCTCTCCGCCATGAGTACAGTGATTACCATGAAAACAGGCATCAAGTTGACGAAAGTACCAGAGTGACTTGCTCTGCTGAGATCTTTTAAACTGGAGGACCAGCAAAAGAAGTTCAGAGCTCTGGCCTGGGATCTGAATGTAATTCTACGTCATCTTACAAGTGATGCCTACGAACCTCTAGACCAGACTACCCTCGAGCTGCTGACACAGAAGACTGTTGCTGCTTGCGCTAGCCATGGCAGCTCGAATATCAGAGATACATGCGCTGGACTTTGGTCGAACCAGATTCGACAGGGGGCAACATGCTACAGTTCATCTAGGACTTAGATGGGACTTCATTGCCAAGAACCAACTACCTGGTCAGCCAGAAAGACAGTTCCACGTACCAGCGCTATCTACAATCCTCGGCCCAGAGGATATAGAGGACCTATCCTTGTGTCTGGTCAGAGCCCTGAAGATATATCTTCAAAAGACTGAGACAAGGAGAGGTTAAAATTCATGCACCTGTTCATCCCATTATCCACAGAGACATCAGCAAAAGTCTCAAGAATGACGATATCGTTGTGGATGAGAGCCGTCATATTGAGAGGCTATAAAGCAACAGGACTAGAACCTCCAAGAGCTCCAACCCACACAAAGTCAGAGCACTGGCGTTAACACTAGCTCTGCATGGAAATTGCTCTATACCAGCAATTATGGAGGGCTGCTTTTGGAAGTCGGACACAGTGTTTGCCAACCACTACCTCCCTGACCCTTTATCTTGTTGATAACTTTCACTAAGGAAAAGTATTAGTTTGAAAGTCCATGCGCACAGTCTAGGACAGGCTAGCATGAGTGATTAAAGATCCTGTACGGGTAAAGATCTTACCTGTACGTGAAGGGGTCGCAACTCATTTATGATGAAGATCTAATCGTAATCTATGGGTTGTTATAAGATATCTTGTAATAAGAAGATACTAGTTTATCTGAAGGCACATGAATCAACATGATTCAACTTGTCTGAGACTGAAGTAAGACAAGAAAGTGGTTCTTTCTCCTCTCCTTTCTCCAATCAGGAGAGAGTGACAAGTAAGGCTGGTCACATGACTGCTTGCGCGGGAAAAGGGAGGTAGCTCGTGTGTGAGTGTATTTTTACGTCCACTTCGGGAACTTCAAGGGATTCAAGTGTTCCACTACCATTCGCAAGGGAAAGGGAGATAAGCAAAAGATCATGAGTCAGGATAAGTATAAAAATATCAACTTTACTTGAAAAATTACATATTCATATTGTTACAGTTTGACAAATTTTATGTTGTTCTGTAATATGAATTACTATATTAACATTGGAGAAAACTCCTAAACGATGCAATTCTTTTTAGATAAAAGTGCATGAAATTAATTTAAAAAGCAAATTGATATCTGTGTTTAACAAGTAAGCTAGAGATAAATTCCACATTGGAGTTTAGGAAAATGTTATGTATTTACATTAACAAAATGCTATGTGTACAGTCATTGCCAACAAAGACAATGCACCATGTCAAAGATCAATCTTACGGAAATCTTTTGTGACCAACTTGTTTTTACATTACCAGAATGCCATAAATATGAATGCTCTATTTCCAAGGAAGTTTCATGATGTATACTAAATTCATGTGTCTCTAAGGAAATAAAACTATAAGTTATATTTGAATATACAAACTAGCTCTTTCCATTACACAAAATGGGACTCTTTGTATATTCTTCCCTGAGTTAGCATTCACAATCTGGTAAGGGTGTAAATTGGTCAACTCTGGTGGTAGAAACTTTCATATGCTACCTTGCCTGTGCTGGAATTGAGCATGATATATAGAATCTCTGGTATATATATGTTTGTTGTCAGCGTAGACTTCATTCATATAGCTAAAAATCTGTATTATGTGGCAGTGTCCCTGACTGACATCCACACCCGCAAGCCATTCAAGAGTACAATAGTGAAGGAGCAGCAAGTGATATCACGGCTCACCATCCCCATGGCCCTGATGGACAACTACAACCAATGTGAATCTCCACCAGCACTCGATAAGCTCAATGAGTTCAGGTGAGTAGTCAGTGAACACAGCAGATTCTAAACTTACGTTTTGATGTTGGCATATTCCAATTGCTTGCACATGCGTAAACAGCTTGTTATTCGATTACAGTGAGTATGGTAATTTGTCAGTATCAATAGTCACTCTTAAAATGTGTAGGTTGTCACAGGTGGCCCACTTGTTATGCACAGTTGCATCCCTTTGACACTTTAGAAGCCTGTATTTCTTACCTAGAGCTCTACCTCTATTACATCACTGACATAAATTCTACATTTTGGTTTCACAATACAAATCTTCAAAGTCCTTTTTACTATCAAGTAGCACATCCAGTTGTCAAGATAAGGGTACACAAATCAGCTTATCTTACCTCACACATAAATGTCGTTTTCTGATTGGCTGAGCGCTCTTCTATTATTTTCAATGTACCCCGCTTACAAGCGAGTAACATTTTCTATATACCCTGTTGGGAATGCCGAGAACTCATTTGGTACTTCGTAGTAGTAATTCTTTTCTCGAATAACATTGAATCACGTATGATGTATAGAAATTACCGATGTTTTGTGAATGCAAATCGATGGAAGGGAGATAACTCTAAATTTGTTTTTTCTTGTCGTCTTGTCGCCTGGTACTCCATACTATGATCCGATACCCGTGTTTCAAACAGTTCAAAATCACCATTGAGGTGTTCGGTAAGATAAATACGTTGTTCACTGGTCCCTCGGGGCCTCAGGGCCCAGTGAACAACTTATAATGTAGCTCTTAAGATATCTAAGGTAGGAATGCTCTTCTTCTTACAAAAGATCCATATTCCAGTTGGGGATGGGGAAGAAAAGACAGAGAAGGGAGTAATAATGATGTAACAGAGCTAGTTGATGTGGACTACCCTTAACCTTTCACACTGCCTGATACTGCCTGTTGACCCCCCTATGTGTATGTTGTGTACAGGGAGGATGGTAAGGACTGCATGAAGTTCTACACAGACTCAACCTACTTTGTGGAGCTGTGGGTGCGGGAGATGGAGAAAGAGATGGAGGAGAAGAAATCTGAACTGAACAAGAAGAGGGACAAAAAGAAGGTAACACCAGCTCAACCAGCTCATATTTTGTCTCCACTGTACAGTCCTCAAGATTTCTTCCAATGTATAATTGTCAGTGAAGTTTTTGTGAAAACAATTTTGACTGTCAAGTTTTATTTATAGATGAGTTTTGAAACGTTTCTATGAAACACACTTAAGGTGACACAAACATTTCTTCTCAAAGCCTTATGTCACTAAGCAATCATAGTGCTACTCAGGGATTGGTTATGGTTGAGATATGAGTTTTCATTCCCATCATCAGCAAGCACTGTTCATAAATATCAAGGCAATAATTATAATTAAGTGGTAATATATCTATTCATATACCATTCAGGATTACAAAATATTGGATATAATCTTTGGATATGATTTTTCATACGTTTTATTCAGAGACCCAAACAGGCTGATAAGAGGAAGCCTCGACCGATTGCTGATCAAAAGGCAAAATGGAATACCATGAAGTATGGTGAAGAGTTTAAGGAGGAACATGTACCAGACACTATCAAACGGGTATCAGAGCACCCCGAGGGACGCCGATTGGTGCACCAGAACAGCACCGGCTCCAGCCACTCACCGCACAGCCGCCCTGGCACACTGCCTGTGGACCATGCCAGCCCTGGACACCATGGTCACCCACATCATGGACATCCTCCGAACCAAGACCCCAGGATACACAATCATGCTTCCAATGTTGCTAATGGACCATACCAGGCTGATCAGCAGCGAAATGAAGATCAGGCACAAACCTATGTTCGTGGCTCTGGTATGCCTCAAAACCAACAGTTCCAGTACAAGCAGTATGAGATGTCACCTGGTCGGTCTTCCACAGCTATGCTTGGAAGTCCACACTCTCGCCCATCTCAGCCTCCCCCAGCCCCACCCCCACCAATGGACCAGCAAAGCCCATCGGACAGAAACAGTTTGCCTCCTCCTCCCCCACCACCTCCCCTTGATCCAGCAGCAAGCCAAACTGCAACACCGCCAATGCAGCGTCAGCCAATTATGTACAATCACCTGGATGGCTCTCCAGGGAGAGGCCGTGGCTCACAGCGCAACTCACCAGCAAGGCAACCTTCACTGTCATCTGCCACATCGAGTCCACACAGAGCAACACCGGAAGGGGTAGAACCACCACCTCCACCTCTCTCCCCACCCATTAGTCAAACACCGGATACCCCCCCTAGCCACGATTCAATGCCACCTCCACCCTCTCCCCGCCCCACTTAACTACTCTCAAACCCCATCCCCACCTCCCCTCCACCCCCACCCCATTGATGACCACTTCTCAGGGCCCGCCCCTCCCCTCCCCCCCCCAGCAGTGATGAATGGGTCACTACGGAGAGATCAGCTTGATGTGGCTTCTGTATCCTCTACTGGAAGCACAGTGACCAATGTATCCAACTCAGAGCCGCAGAAGCCCACTGTGGGTCAAGAACGCAGTGATTTGCTTGCAGAAATTAGACTAGGAGATTGTAAGTTGGCAAATTATTAATATTATAGCCTATGTAGATGCTGATAATTTAATTTTGATAATAATAATCAACAGTCTTTCAGTCAGTTTAATATGCAAAAGATAAATCTGGTATCAGATAATCTGTTTTATGAAATACTGAGTGGTATTTGCCTAAAAATACTTGATTAACATGGGTAAGTAACTTTTGAGTCACAATACAAGGATGTTATCCGTTTAAGCATGCTTCCTTATCAAGCTGTGATACAGCAGATTTGTATGGTGATGATGAGAAAGTGGTTGTGTTTGTACAACAGGGTACAAGAAGTTGCGGCGTGTCGAGAAGCGCAGGGAGAAGCAAAAGAAGGTGGTACCAGCCGGCAGATTCGATGTTCAAGCTCTCATGGACAGGGCTGTGGAAATGCGGCGCAAAGTGATAGAAGACAGTGATAGCAGTGATGGTGATAGCGGCTCCGATGATGATGACTGGGACACAGATTGAGGACAAACATAGTCCTAGACAACATGAACTTGGCTGGCTATTGTAAGCTTGTTCTTATATAGCCTTCGTCTACACGGAAACATGTGTCCAGATTTGAAGGCTAATATGCAGATATGTTCATGTGGAAAACATGTAAAGCGTGATGTATTAATTTACCCAGGATTGCATGCTGATAGTGTATTCACAATTTAGTTGCTAGCAGACAAAAGAAAGTAGGAAATGGGTTTTAAGATAATAACTAGAGATTTATGTTTCAAATGAATTTGATTAATGTAATGTGTTTAATATTATTAGCCTGATGGTATGTTGCAATGAATGACAGGGTGACCATGATAACATGGAGCTCTACTCCTCTACTTGAGGGAATGACAGTGGTCAGCAACACCCATGTAATACTGTTGGCATGCCAGTTCAGTTGCAACGAGAATCAAGAAATCTTCAGAATCTTCCATTTTTTAGCTGTCAGGGAATGAAAGTCATCACTGCAAGTTACCCTGAATAATCATGACACATGCCGAATGTATGATCAGACGCTTACTTGATGCAAGGGAAAGAACTGCTTCAATGTAGATATTACATTTCCTGCTAGTACGCAGCTACTTTTCTAATGTATCTAAACAACAGCTGTAAGTCTATAGCGCGGACTCTATACACTGTGTAAACAGGCTTGTCAGCCCCGTGCAGGAGTGTAGAGTGCACTCAATTGTACAGTGTATTGTTGATGTATCATATGTTCCATGTCTACAGGTGTGGCGTACTTAGTGTTGCGTGTATCATAGTGCTCACAGCCAAGGGAGGCTGACCCCTGGGTGGGATGACCTGTACATACATCAGTAGTGACAGCATAGTCCACACACAGTGTCCTTCCTCTACCACTGGAGGACAACAACAGCACTCATCATAATATTCTGTACAAACCAGTGTGTAAGATAACAGTGTTAATATTACCGGTCTGTCATCGTTGTGTCACAATGTCTTTCTGCTCTGTTTTGTGTTATATTTATGAGCTCTGTAAGTGCTATGACTTATCATCAGACAGACTCTAATCTGTGTTCAACAGGTCAGGTTTCCAGCTGTTTTTCTTTGGAAAATTATTCTACTGATAAAACAAAAACTTGTGCTCTTCCAGGTAATTATGGTGAAAATTTAGGTATTGAATTTCTTTTTTTGACACTGAAATATTTGTTGACAGAGGTATTTGAATTTGGTCATTTATAAAGAATGTTGTGAAGGTGACAGTGTTGACAGAATAGGTTCATATGAGCCTTTATGTCTGTGCTAACATTTGTCTTTCTCAATGTTCAAGTGGTACTTGATAATTCACAGTATGATCTGATAATATGTGAAAACTGACCTTGTTGATGTTTCTTGTGATACTTTCTTTATTCACTTTCTTGCTGTACATTTGTCATGGTAGTAGTCAAGATGATATTTTAGTGAGATTGCTGGGGACAGCTGCTTGTTGGGAGAGTTGTGTGTGAATTTTCTGTTGTCAACTTACTAAAAGTCTTTATCAGTATTGATAACCTGCTGTTTACATCAATGCTGGAACTTGAAAACTTTGATTTAGTGAAAGGAAATGTGTGCTGCAAATAGCAGTCAACAAAGCCAGCAGGAAACAACCACCTCCTCCATTACTGAATCAAAATGCATTGACTGGAGCAGGTGTTAATGTGATGTTTGTGATTGATGGAAGAGTCTCTCTCTCTCTCTCTCTCTCCTCTTTCCCCCCCCCCGAATCAAACCTACCGGTAAATGTGTACTATTTTTTAAAGGACGTTTGAAAGACAGTTGAATGGTATATTGGACTGATATACTAATTGTTAACTATTTGTGCATTCGATTCATACAGGGGTAGCTGATGTATTAGGCTCTTTAATAGTAATGTTTTTTTGTTTTGTTTTGTTTTTTTAAAATTCAAAACCATCCTGTAGAGGATAAGTGTAACCATTTCTAGGACAGCAGTTTATCAATCTGTCTTGGCATTATGTAAATTAGAATCGTTTCCCCCCACTGTTAACGGTGTGCAATAATCAATGAATTCTTTCCCTGTATCATAAATCATTGACCATTCACAGATTTCACATAGATTAGATTTTATTTTGTTCCTTTTGTGAAACTGTGAAATTGTAGCATATATAAATTTTCTATGTACATTGTATAGCTGTACTAAGGTTATTGGTAAGTGCTAGTCATATTATGGAAGATAAGCCTACAGATGCGTATTATGCCAAGAGATGCTCCACAATATATACTCTACAATATATACTCATATTAACTAGAGTCCTGTTTTGCCAGCAGATAGTTGGGACCATGTACTGATTCTGCTCCGTAAGGCACAATGTAGTCTATTGCTGCGGTAGGATATCAGATTGGAGACCAGCATTTCTTCATCTTCATTCAGTGTTTCATATGTAAAGGGAACAACAGTAGAAGTCAGCATTTGAACTACAGAGCCAGCTGCAGGCGTCAGATAGGGGAATCATCAAGAACTACTCAACGTTTTTTCTTAAGGTATTGATCGCTCTCCAGTACTGTCAGGTTAGCACACATTGAAATACATACTTGCATTTTCTTTTTTGCAGAGAATAGAGATGATGAGATGGGATAAATGTTTACCTTTGTTCAGTTCAAGTACAGGATATGCCCTTTTGAAACCAGTGTCAGGACAGAAAACACCTTCATGATAATTAGTCTGGAAATATGCATAAAAATGCACGTTTTGCCATGTTTACTGATACTGAAAAAGCTGCTGTTGATATTAACCTAGAACATGTGATGGAAATAATGCATCGTGAGCTCACTAACACCTGTAGTCTTCCAAGCACCAAGTGGTGGTGCTGTAGTTCAAGCGTTATATGCCGTGGGGGACATATAAGGGCAGTCACTTTTGTCATCCATCTTCCTAGTGTCCTGGCGGTAGGTTGCCTTTGCTTTCTTGGGTGAATTTTCCATTAGTGATTTATTTCAGCAACAGTTTTCGCAAGTCCAAACCGGTTAAAGTTGTATTACAGTTTGGTAGCTGGTCAGATCTGTTCCATCAGCAAACTTGCCTTTTAGCATGTTTTACCGGTATGTGAATACTGTATACTTTGCTAATACTATTGCCAATAGGGTCATTTTATGTTATGCTGACAACAATTATTATTTTTCCATGCATGTTTTTATAGCAGTTTTAAACAATCCTATAATATAAATGAAGTAATAGTGTGACACAGAATTCAGGAGATCATTATTAAAGTTATGATCCATCAAGTCCTGATATATACCAAACATCTTCGCACCAACCAACACTGATTTTCTCTCCCATGTCTGAACATGACAACCAGAATGTGTTGATCGAAATCTTTTACTTTTGCTGCATTATTGGGGAAAAAACTTGTTATGATATGAATCATATAATTAAACTTTACACCTATTTGTTTTTCTGTTATTTTATCCTTGAGTTTTGTTCTCTTGCACATTGTTTGTCTTCTACTGAATAATGACAGCGTATTTGCCCAGTGTATGCTATAGTTTCTGTGCCAACCTAGTTTCAAAAGGACAGTGCATGGAGCACACATATATATCAGGGATGTTATTGGTAACAGAATAAATCTCTTGATGGCTTTCATAAGGACTGTTTTAAAGAAGTCCTCACAGGATTTACAGCCTGTGGATCTATTTTTCGGGCTACCTGTTCATAAGATGAAGCCAGCTAAACCAACTAATGTATAAACCAGGGATATTTTTCTGATTGCATGCGACGACACTTACCTTCATTGTTGTCAGAGGTGAGTCTTTGTAATGGGCACTTACGGTGTTTTCTGTGTCCAAATTGAAGGACGCTTACTTCTGAATCTATGCATTGAGGACAATGAAGTTGGTGTGATTGACATGGGCAAGTTGGTAGGCCAGAGGTGGCAAAACAATTGAGCTATTCCAAGGAGAGCTGATACATCTATTCCAGCAGTGTTGATGTTGAATGTTTTACATGGGTTGTACAACTATATTTGATATTGTGTGTGGCAAGTAGGTAATGTGCTTCTGTTGATTTGTTATGTTTTCAGTAGGAATAGTCCAACTTTATACATACCCACAGCCTGGACTTGCGAGGTTTCCTGAACATGTCCAAACCTTATTTCCATAATTAGTACAAAATAGCATCTGCCTAGCCCAAGGTAATTTGCTCAACGTTAAGAAACACGCTTAGGGCTAGCAGATAAGAGAATGTTGGATAAGGGTCCCTTTTACACGAAAGCAATGTCACATATTTGAAGAACATAAATTGAAATGCTAGTATGGAAATTATTACACATGTTCAAATGGCCGGCATCTGGCATCTTTTTCTTTTTTACACTTGCATGTTTTGGACTTTCAGCATCATCAAAGACACAAGTGTGGCTATAAGGAGTGAAAAGGATTCTTTTTGTTAAAAATTGGGAAAAAATGCTTTGGTCAAAGACTTGTGCTTGTTAATAAATCATCTTTTTGAGACACATATCCTTTATCCCTCCTTATGCATTTATTTTGTTATAAAACATGCAATTGTTGAAATGAACAAAGTTCTGTTATCATTCACTTAAGTACCTCTGGTATATATCAATTCTTAAATTATGCCAATCCTGTGGTGTGAAAAGACATTTTATATCTTGTTTGTATTTATTTAGAGTTTATAATCTGGAATGTTTTGCAAACCACTGCATTTGCAGACTTCAAGAAAGAAGATGGTGTCACTATTTTCCAAGAGCTTTTGTAATTGCTTTATTTTGACATATCCTCCTCAGTATCTCTCCATTCATAGAAAATCCCTACAGGTTAAAAAAGGACAGATCAAAGGGTTCATTTACTGAACTGAGTTCAGTGGTATCTATACTATCTACAAAAAGAAAAAGGATTTCAACATGATGAGAGTAACATATTGTCTTTTAGTGACGTCAAACGCAGTAAAGGTAGATTAAGAAACTATCTACATTGCCATGACAATTGCGTTTTCTTAATTGTGACAATAAATTACATTTCTTTCAAATACTTTTACTACTAGTTCATCCAATAGTAACTTCACCGTTTTGACACAATGTCTTCAGTCCTTTCACTGAGAGCTGCTTTGGTTCCCAACTGAAGTATATGTCATATGAATCTATATCCAGTGTAAAGATGGCTAAATGTCACGGGAGGGTGGTAATCCATGTACCAGTAGCATTACAGTTGCATGCATTGATATAATAATTTACACAATATATACACAAATGATGTACAATTTATTACTTTATAATATATAGAGCTGTGTCTAAGCTTTAAAGTTCAGTCTTATTACATTTTGGTGAAAACAGACAAATGATAAAATGATGACGCATTCCAGTATTACTGCACTATGAACAACTTTAAAAAACAACTAATGTATTTTCTCTTTTTTTGACGCCAGGGTGTCAATTACTCGCAAGCTGTTGACCTGGCAACACAAATCCAAGAATGTACAGTCATACAAGGGTACATTTGCAGGAAACTCATTATAATAGCCAACATATCACAGTATTACTGACATAAAATAGAAGACCTGTTGCCATTTCTTTTGACAGATTTGGCATCTTAAAGAGGATATATGGTATATTTCTTTGTATTAAAAAATATTAATCTAACAGATAAAGTTAGATAATGCTGATAGATAAGATGAATGTTAAGTCCATGTTGGTGGAGCATTGGAAACCTTTCTATTTCAGGTAGCATTACAAAGATCAGTTTGACAGTTATAACAGGATAAAGTAGACCGATATTTCACGGAAAAATATTCTTTATGGACTTTCCAATTACTCCTATTGATGCTCTCTGTTAACAAGGAGTATTGTTAGCTGGTTCCTTCGGACCCATCAGAAGAATTAGGCTAGTCTTCCAAAATTGGCCTTACACACTGTATGACCTATCTTGTATGCATGTCATATTATTTAAGACTTTTTTCAAAATTGTACATTGTATATTCTGAGATCCCTTGGTGGACACATGTATTCTAGACTGGTTATTATTATTATGGACCATTAAATTATGCTGACTTTAAACCAGTTACACAGAATAAAAACTATGTAATCTTGTGGCTGCCGCATGAATTCTGCTCAAGTTGTAAATTGACTTTTACCTCCTATTCCTGCTTCCGCTAGCTGTGTACATAGCCTGCTGTAAACCTAGCTGACCCTGCTTGACCCCTGACCTGACCTGACCTGACCTGACCTGACCTGACCTACATAACACCAGCACTATTGGTAATTTGTCCATTTTTGCATGATTTGTCTTCAAAATGTCAGTTAATCTCTTACTTCAGACAGCTGTAGCATTTATCAGCAATAAAATGGACTGCTTTTTTTTATTCTGAAAAATTGTTTGTTTTCTGTGCAAAACCTTCAATTGAACCTTGTACAATGCAAACCCTATCATCTGACATTGAAAGTGATGGATGAGAAATATTCCTACTCGTACAATAATCTGAGTTCTTATTGGCTGGAGCTCTCCCTTGTTTCCTTCTCACTGGAAGTAGGCAGTGATATGATTTACTGTTTGAACATAGTTACCAGAAGTCAAAGGATCACGGTGAAACATAACATTTCTGGCATGACAGGATCTATGATTGTTGGTTCTGATCCTAGATTGGCCATCACTTAGATCCTTGGTTCCTCTGCATCAGACTTGTGTACATAAACATTGAGCCAGGACCTCTTTCCTGCCACAGATTGAAATGCTGTTGGAAGTAGTGTAAAGCAATTCACCCACTCATGTCTCCACACCTGTCAACTGTTGGTCTGATGAAGTTGAATCTTGGAATATGTTTACCCACAGTCTTCAAGAAATCAGACTGTACATGTAAAAAAACAGAACATCACCACTATTTCTTGTGAAGAATAAATAAGCCGAAATCAGTTATCTTACTTGGTAGTTAGTTTCCAACATTATGTTAGGTGGCCAAAAGTAATACTGAAGGAAAGGATGTGCATCAAGCACTGCAGTAATCATTATTTTTCCTTATCCTGACTCATGCTCTTTTGCTTGTCTCCTTCTTCTTGCGAATGATAGTGGAACACTTGAATCCCCTTTTGAAGCTCCCTTCAAAAAAGCAGACGTAAAATCACTCACCCCACGAGTAGCCTCCCTTTGCCCTTTGGCGCCCTTATTGGTCACCTGACCAGCCAAGCTTGTCACTCTCTCCTCCTTCGCCCTAGAGGACGGTTGTGAGAGCGCCTGGATCCCCTATACAGCACTATATCCTTTTAACTTTAGGCCTTTGCCACTAATTTTAGCTGTATACAGCATTTAGGAAGATATGCCAGCAATATGGTTTGAAATTTTTGTCTAAATTATCTGTTTATTCACGTTGTTGACGTGATATTTCATCTTGTTTACAATTGATGAAAAACTTGCATTTGTTGCAGGTACCGGTTGATTGCTGCTGATCCTCATCTATTATGTCCTACTTATACCCCTGTTACGAAGTAAAGGGGGTATATAGCGCTCATTCTGTCCGTCCGTCCGTCCCGAAACTTTGTCTGGAGCATATCTCTTAAAGTTTACATGCTAGGTTCACCAAACTTCACACACGTTAAACTTTACCCATTGATGTGCTATTTTAAAGTTTTTCAGAATTTGTTTTGTTGTTGTTTCCATGGAAACATGACTTGGTGCAAAATGTGTTTGATGGTTACCTGGCCACAGCATATCCTCGAAACTATACATGCTATGTTCACCAAACTTAATACACAAGTTAATCATGACCCACAGATATGCCATGTGCTAGAAAATAACAATCTTCGTCTACGTCCACTTCATTGTGTGCAACAAGTTCAATTGTATCTCAGGTTTCCACAGAAAACACAAAAAAGTAATGTTTCCATAAATTATTACTGTAATCAGTACATGGCAAAACTATTATCTAACATGTATATAAAGTTTAGTAGAGTCAAGGAGAAAGTCTTGTGAGCTGCTGATCCTTGTCACATTATATATATCAATATCAGTCATTTCCATGTCCCAAAGTGGGAAGCGGGGGTATGTGAGCCGTGCTCACTTCTACACTTGTTGCACTTCTACATGTTCTTCCAGCTTTAGCTGCCAACTTTGTCAGCATTTATCTGAAATTGAATTTAATAATTATTTATATTCCATTCTTAGATGTGCTAAGGACAGGTGTAGACGGCATTTACAAGTCATGTCTAACCGAGTGAATGCGCTGATAACCGTTTATTGCTGGCTGCTGAGATTCACCATTCCAGTGAATTGCCGGTTGCTACTACGGAGCATGTTGCTGTGCCAAAGGGGAGCTCCGGCTCCAGGAAGAGGTTGTCAACATCATAAGTAGACTCGTCGCAGTCTAAGAAGACCAGGGCATCGTCTTCACATAAAAAGAAGTCGTCTGTAGATGAGACTTCGGCGAAGTCTTCCCATGGGGCAGCGCAGAAGACGAGGTCCTTCTCTGCAGAGATAATCCCTCCAGACGAAGTAGACGTGTATGACGACCCACTCATCCTCATTCCTGAAGTAGCAGTTAAGAAGAAGACGAGATCCTCTTCTACTGTGACGTCAGCAGTCATCTCAGCGCAGTCAGATGATCTATCAACGCAGACATCAGGTACCAGAGACGGCAGTTCTTCACAAGTGCAGCGGTCCTCGGAAGAAGCCTCATTAGCAGCAGCCGTTGTCACAGAACTTCAACCCGGGTATATTCATGCAGCAGTTTACTCAGCAGATGTTGGAGCTGATGGAACGACGGTTCGCACAGGAGAAGGCTGCGGCGAAGGTCCCATCTATGACGAGCCTGCACGAAGAACAAGCAGTCTGCACATCGCATCCTGTTGAAGATGGTAGCCTGCGTGAAGGCTGCAACGAAGACCTCATCTACGACGATGAGCCTGCATGAAGGACCAGCAGTCTTCACATTGCATCCCAACGAAGATGGAAGCCTGCGTGAAGGATGAAGTCTGCGTGAATGCGGAAGCCTGCGTGAAGGCTGATACTGAAGACCTCATCTACGACGACGAGCCTGCATGAAGGACCAGCAGTCTTCACATCGCATCCCAACGAAGATGGAAGCCTGCGTGAAGGATGAAGGCTGCGTGAAGGATGCTATGAAGACCTCACCTACGATGACGAGCCTGCACGAAGGATTAGCAGTCTTCACATCTCATCCCAATGAAGATGGAAGCCTGCGTGAAGGATGAAGTCTGCTACGAAGACCTCATCTACGATGTTGAGCCTGCACGAAGGACCAGCAGTCTTCACATTGCATTCCAACGAGGATGGAAGCCTGCGTGAAGGAGGAAGTTTGCGTGAAGGCTGATACAAAGACCTCATCTACGATGACGAGCCTGCACGAAGGATTAGCAGTCTTCACATTGCATTCCAACGAAGATGGAAGCCTGCGTGAAGGTTCACACTTGACTGCAACCTCGACAACGATGATGCAGCCCTAGACGTGCCAGAAGGACCTTCCAAGAAGCCTTCGCGCAGGAGCAGGATTAGACGTT